AAGTTAGCCTCCGCATCTGTCATGGTGGCATCTGAAATGCTGAAGAATGGTTTTGTGCCAGGCAAAGGCCTGGGCGCTTCTTTACAAGGTATCGTGCAGCCAGTGTCTCTGCCAAAAAAAAACTTGGATACATTTGGTCTTGGATTCAAACCCACAGCGACAGACGTGAAAAGGGCCAGAATGTTGAAACAGAAGGCATGGGCACTTCCGAAGCCTATCCTGCGTCTCTCCAGGTCATTTGTCAAGCGCGGTGCCATGAAGCGCCCAGTGACAGCAATTCCAAATCCAGTGGTTGACGTTGATGAAGATTTAATTGAAAGGTTCCAGAGTTTGTTTGATGATGTGAACATGGTAGAAGTTGGAGAAAGTTCCAGCAAAGCAGATGTGCAGTTTGTCGGGCCGAAAGTAAAGCTTAACAATTGGAAGGCTACTCCTCTCCCTACCCGGAGGGAGTTTTGGTAGTTTGCTTTGTTTTTCTTTCTATCTGGGTCATTCCAGGGTTGTGACCCAGATTTTTATTTTCTCGCTTGTTTGATGTACAAACCCTATTATCCTTTATTTTCAATGAAATGCAATTTCCCTTTTTTCATCATTCCTGATAGTTTTTACTTTTGTTTTCTTTTCTTCTTTGTATAGTTCTTTTTATGCTGGTTTTAATGACATGACATGCATGAGAAATCTTCGGACAAGTCTTAAAAGTCAGTCTAATTCTGAAATAATAATCCAAGAAATAGAGAGTGATGATGAAACAGAATATGATGAGGATGAGGAACTTGAGGAAGTCGGTAAAGAATTAAATCATTTTGAAGAAAAACCCAAGCCTAATTTGAATGAAACCGAAGCAATCAATTTAGGAGATCCAGATAATGTCAGAGAAACCAAGATAAGTGTCCATCTCGAACCCCAGATCAGGGAAGAAATAATCAAAGCACTGTTTGAATACAAGGATATTTTTTGCATGGTCGTATGATGACATGCCGGGCTTGAGTACCGACTTGGTGGTCCACAAATTACCAACTGATCCAACTTTCCCTCCCGTCAAGCAGAAATTAAGGAAGTTTAAGACTGACATGAGTGTGAAGATCAAAGAAGAAGTCACGAAGCAGCTTGATGAAAAGGTCATTCGAGTCACGCGGTATCCCACGTGGTTAGCTAATGTTGTGCCTGTACCAAAGAAAGATGGTAAGACCAGAGTATGTGTTGATTACCATGACCTCAACAAATCAAGTCCAAAGGATAACTTCCCGTTGCCAAATATCCACATTTTGATTGATAATTGTGCCAAGCATGAGATTGGGTCTTTTGTGGATTGCTATGCGGGATATCATCAGATCTGAATGGATGAGGAAGATGCGGAAAAGACGGCATTTATCACGCCATGGGGAACATATTGCTACCGGGTCATGCCGTTTGGTTTGAAAAATGCTGCGGCAACTTACATGAGGGCAATGTCTACCATATTCCACGACATGATACACAAGGAGATTGAGGTCTACGTGGATAATGTAATCATAAAGTCCAGGAAGCAGTCTGACCACGTCAGGGACCTGAGAAATTTTTTCCAGAGGCTCCGCAGGTACAATCTTAAGCTCAACCCTGCAAAGTGTGCATTTGGTGTTCCATGGGGCAAGTTGTTAGGCTTCATAGTCAGTCGGCGGGGCATCGCGTTGGATCCATCAAAAATCAAAGCTATCCAGGAATTACCACCGCCAAAGAACAAGACTGAGTTGATGAGTCTGTTAGGGAGGTTAAATTACATCAGCGGGTTTATTGCTCAATTGACGACAACCTGTGAGCCCATCTTCAAGTTGTTAAAGAAGGATGTTGCGGTCAAGTGGACCGATGAGTGCCAAGAAGCATTCGATAAGATCCTGTGTTGGTCCCGCTGGAGCCCGAGAGACCTTTGATTCTTTATTTGACGGTCTTGGATAATTCATTTGGCTGTGTGTTTGTCACGACCCTATTTGCCAAACCCGGTCGTGATGGCGCCTCTCATGAAGAAAAGGCCAGCCAACTAAACCCAATTTAGCTTTTTAAACAGTTAAACAACATAATGCAATCTAAAACATGATCTAATAATATTAAGTAGCGGATAATGTCAATAAAAATGCGGAAGTACAACCCAAACACAGCCCAAACCGGGGTGTCACTAGTCATGAGAATCTACTAAGGTCCAAATACAACTGACCAAGTCTGAAATGTACTAAGTAGAGTCTAATAGTATAAAGAGGGGGGAAAGCAATGCTGCGAACGCCGGCAGCTACCTTGCTAAACTCCGATGATTCTGCCTCCGATCAACCAATACCCGTTACCGGGTCCAAAAAAATACCTGAATCTGCACATAAGGTGCAGGGAGTAAAGTGAGTACTTTCAACTCAGTGAGTAATAATCATAAATAAAGACTGAGTGATAAGAAATCACGAAAAGTGCATCAACATGCTGTATAAAAGTAGTTCAAAAACCAGTAAGAAGCAGTGAAGCTGTAAAATCCCTTTAAACATCTTAGCTCAGTTTGAACTTCTTTGAAAATGACCTTTTGAATAGTTACGCAAATGAATGCAGAACAACTAGTGCAGATAAGCACAAAAATCCGCCCCTCGGGCATAAATACACAATTAAACAGGTAAATGACAGGCAAATAAGAAAGATAAGCACATAAGGTTTGCCCCTCGGGCACCATGTCAACAAATCTGCCCCTCGGGCAATATCTCAGAACAGTACCAGCCCCTCAGGCAATCACATGGAACAATATCAGCCCTTCGGGCAATCACATAGAACAATACCAGCCCTCGGGTTATATCTCACATCACAATGGGTACCCTCACTCACTGGGGGTGTGCAGACTCCTGGAGGGGCCCCTTACGGCCCAAGCGCAATAACAAGCCATCTCATGGCATCATAAACAGGCTCTCGACCTCATATCAATATCAAGCCACCTCGTGGCGTACAATCTCAGGCCCTCGGCCTCATAATCAAAATCAGTGTATCACCGCTGCTGCGTGCAGCCCGACACAAGAGGTATCCTCACAATACAGGCCCTCGGCCTTACTCAGTCAAAAATCACATAAGCCTCTCGGGCAACAGTAAAACAATGTTTCTCAGCCCAAAACATCATTTAAATATCATTTGAGTACTAAAACTGAGTGAACATGGCTGAGTTTTGAAAACAGTAGAAAATAACATGACTGAGTTCAAGTATAAAGTCAAAACAGTGAGGAAATATCAACAAAGATCCCCGAAGGGTCCAAATAGTTGGCACGAAGCCCAAATATGGCATTCGGCCCAATTAATGATGATAACAAATAGATTTCAGTCAAATATGCGGTAAAATCATCAATCGGGACGGACCAAGTCACAGTCCCCAATAGTGCACGACCCCACGCTCGTCATCAAGCGTGTGCCTCACCTCAATATAGCACTACGATGTGCAATCCGGGGTTTCAAACCCTCACAGCATCCTTTATAATCATTACTTACCTCGATCCGGTCCAAACTCTAGCCCGCGATGTCTCGCCCGCACTAATCGACCTCCGGATGCTCCGAATCAGCCACAATCAGTACATAATCATTAAAATATGCTAAGAGAACGAAGCCCACTCGAAAATAGCCAATTTAACATCAAAATCCCGAAATTGCTCAAACTCGGACCCTAGGCCCACATCTCGAAATCCGATAAAATTAACATCAATGGAATCCTCATCCTCTCACGAGTTCATACATATCAAGAACATCAAAATCGGACCTCAAATGACCTCTCAAATCCCCGCTCAAAGGTCTCTTAAATCTCAAGCCCTAATTACCCATTTTTGCTACTGATTTTCCATGGATTTCAAGCTTACAAATGTTAAAATTCATCATAGAAACAAGTTTAGGGTCCAAATCTTACCTCCATGTTGAATTCCCTCTTCAATTAGCTCTCCCAAGCTTCCTCCCGGATGGAATATGGTGAAAACCCTCTCAAAATCTGTCACGACCCGGATTTCCCACCATCGGGAGTCGTAATAGCGCCCACTAACGGAGCTAGGCAAGCCAAACATTTAAACATTTTCGGATAACAGCACAACAATAATAAAACAACGAGTCTTCAAATAAATGCGGAAATCTTTTAAAAACATAAATAACTGAAAGCCCAATATGCGGAAGTTTAATATTTCTCTACCCAAGACTGGAGTCGCTACCTCACTAACTACTAAAGAGTGCTACAAACAAGTCTGAATAGAAAATGCCTAAATGTCTGTCTCGGTACAATGAAAACAAACTGAAAACATAGAAAGGGACTCCGGCCTGCGAACGCCAGCTAGGCTCCCTCGTAAGTCCCTGGACTGAAGTCAGCTCCCGATCAATATCCTACTGCAGTGGTCCAAAAGCTGCTTCGGTACCGGGATCTGTGCAAAAGAGCACAGAAGTGTAGTATCAGCACAACCGACCCCATGTGCTGGTTGGCCTAACCCCGACGAAGTAGTGACGAGGCTAGACCGGACTACCAAACCAACCTGTGCAGACAATATATATATATATATGCAATAAAAGGGAAGAACAAAGAAAATTAAACAATTAAGAGGGAGGGAAGCATACTATGGGAGAGTACAGTCCGGATGTAAAGTCAACAATTTAAGTAAGAAACAGGGCAATAACAACAATTAATGAGAGCAGAAAAAAATCAATAGTTGCACGGCATCAACCTTCGTGCTTTTACTCTCATTCTCACCAAAAGCAATCAAATAAAGTGCACGGCATCACCCTTCGTGCTTTCCCTCACATAACTCTCATATCATGACACGGAATGATCCTTCGTGCAATTATAATCAAATCAGAGCACGGAATGTCCCTTCGTGCATTAATAATCAAAACATGGCACGGAATGACCCTTCATGCAAGTATAATCAAAACATGGCACAGAATGACCCTTCGTGCAAATATAATCAAAACATGGCACGAAATGACCCTTCGTGCAAGTATAATCAAAACATGGCACAGAATGACCCTTCGTGCAAATATAATCAAAACATGGCACGGAATGACCCTTCNAATACATTATTATAACTTGTGGACGCCTTTCTTTTTGTGCCACGACCCCTCTTCTTGTCGTTACCACTTTCTTCTTCATCTTCCACTCCATTTTGCTAGTGAAAATGCAGAAATGAACTGTGTTAGCAAAGTAGTGACGACTTTTCGCACTCAACAGTCAAGATTCTTCATGGAAACAAGGATATACCACTGTGATGTTATCCATCTTCTCCAGCAGGAACTCTGAATAAAGCTGGGTCTGTGTAAGAAGCTCGTCCAACTTACTAAATTGAAGGTCATTCAAGTTGGGGGCCTCTTTGGGCTCATTTACTTCTTCCTCCTTTACACGTGCTTTCATCAAGTTTTCCTCTTCCTTCGCCATGGATTCAGATAAAAGAGAGACATCCCCATTTTTTGCATCAAGAAATACTTCATCCTCTAACTTGACAGATACCTCCTCTTTGCATGTATCCTTCAAGTTGAGAATACACAGATGTAATGCACAAGTAAAATCTGAATGAAATTTTTCTAAACATCCCTCCGAGCCAGCAACTGGCATTCGGACAAGGAAACAAAGAAATTATTGGTTAGAAATTTAAGAAAAGACATCTAACTTGGAAATCAGCAAAATTAAAGGCCAAATACAATTCCATTTCCAACCCAAACAAATCACATTTACCCTCAAACTGTAACGTGTACAAACTTTAAAACCCTAACAACAAGGTGTATTACGGATCAAGTACGTCAATAAGAAATAATTGGTAAATCGCGAAGCAGTTGGCACGTGACTCAAACACATAAACTCAAAGTCTTGCTTTGATTAGTTTTCAAGAATCAATATGTTGTCACTCTCATCTTATCCGATTACCTAGTTTTTTAAAAAGCATGTTAACAAAACCACATGACATTGGTACTAATGACAGGTAGAGTAAAATATCACACCATACAACTCGTTTCTTTACATTTGCACATTCTAGTACCTACTGCAGCCATATGACTCTATAACCCACCCATCCACCCCACCCACCCCCACCCCGAAAATAAAGCTAGATTCCTTCAAAATTAGCTTAAAGGGTTGTTCACCACCCCCCACCCATAAAACAAAAGAAACTTTATCAGCTTTTACCGACAGTAACAACACAATGCTATTTTTTCTCATTCCAGTATCTTTTTTTATGACCGAGAAACCTGTCTAGGCTAACTTTTAGGACCAACTGCATCCTGATGGGCCTGCCCCTCTACCCTTCTCCACTTAAATACCATACATAGTTTTTTTTCCTCATTCAAGTATCTTACTTCTACTTCCCCCCAATTTGGTGCGCGGCCGCGCTGGTCGACCTAGAATTCACTGGTCCTCTGAACCTAGCCACGCGGACCGCACAGAAATGCACCGCGGCCGCGCGGCTTCCAGCGCGGACCGCGCGGAAATGACCGCGGCCGCGCTGGGAGCCTGCAACACCTGGACCTGCAAATTTCTAATACTTTTAAGTCTAAGACCCTCCCGGGACCCACTCAAAACTCACCCGAGCCCTCGGGGCTCCAAACCAAACATGCACATAACTCCAAAAACATCCTACGGAATCATCCGTGCGATCAAATCGCCAAAACAACATCGAATTAGGCCTCAAGACCCATGATTTCCTTCCAATTTCCATGAAACATCAAATTTTACTGCTTCTAGCTCAAAACACGTCAAATGACGTCCAAATCTAACCAAACTTCACATCAATTACTTAACTCATATTTAAGACTTGTGCCGGGTGTCGAAACCAAAATACGAGCCCAACAGCACAGTCTTCTAAACAAATAACACTTTTCAATTCTTTAATTATTTTCAGAAAACAATTTTACGTAAAAATTCATTCCTCGGACTCGGGACCTCAGAATTTGATTCAGGGCACACCCCCAAGTCTCATATTTTCCTACGGACCCTCCGGGACTGTCGAATCACGAGTCCGGGTCCGTTTGCCCAAAAAGTTGACCGAAGTCAAACTTAATCAATTAAAACATCAAAATTTTTATTATTTTTCTCACAAATTCATATTTAAACGTTCCGGCTACACGCCCGGACTGCGCACACAAACTCGAGGCAACCCCCAAGTGAAGTTTTCACGGCCTCAGAAATACAGAGGAGTAGGAATACAGGTGATAACCCTTTGGGTCGTCACAAAATCGCGAAGGGTGCAATATATACTTTCTGCCCAGACATTTCCGCATCTGCGGCCCAAATTCCGCTTCCGCGGTATCGCATCTGCAGTCAAGACCACCGCATCTACGGTCCTCACTTAAATTACCAAAATCGCATATGCGATACATTTCCCGCATCTGCGACATCGCAAATGCGGTCACCCTTACCGCTTCTGCGGTCACTGCTTATCAGGCCCCCCTTTTGCTTCTGCGGCCAGTTCCTCCGCTTATGCGGCGCCGCACCTGCGCCCCCCACTCCGCAGGTGCGAAAATACCAGAAGCAGCAAATTTCAGCTGCTGCAACAAAATTTCAACTTCTTCGTTGACCACCCGAAATCACCCCGAGGCCCCCGGGACCTCAAACAAAAGCACAAACATATCCCAATACCTTATTCAAACTTGTTCCAATCTTCCAAACACCTCAAACAACATCAAATCATCCAAAACACATCGGATTTAAGCCAAGCTCTCAAAAATCTTCCAAATTTTGCTTTTGATCAAAAACCCAACCAAACCACGTCCGAATAACCTAAAATTTTGCACACACATCCCAAATGACATAACGGAACTACTGCAACTTCCGAAATTTCATTCCGACATCTATATCAAAATCTCACCTATCAACCGGAAAATGCCAAAATCTTAATTTCGCCAATTCGAGCCTGAACCTTCCACGGACTTCCAAAATGCATTCCGATCACACTCCTAAGTTCCAAATTTTAACGGAGCTAACCAAATTATAAAAATTCCGATCCGAGATCATATACTAATAAGTCAAATCTTGGTCAAACATTTCAAATTTCGAGCTTCAAACTGGGAACTGTTCTTCCAAATTCATTTCGATTACCCTGAAAATCAAAACTAACGATTTACATGAGTCGTAATACATCACACGGGGCAAGTCATGCCCGAAAACTAGCGAGAAAAGTGCAAAAGCTCCAAACGGCCTATCGGGTCGTTACAGTGTTGGGTCAACATGACATCACTGGCAGGAAAGAGCAGTCTATCTATTATTTCAGCAAGAAGTTCACATCCTATAAGGTTAAGTATACCCCCTGGAAAGGAAATGTTGCGCCCTGACTTGGGTAGCGTAGAAGTTGAAGCATTATCTGTCTTCCTACACTACTTACCTCATTTCTCGCTTGGATCCTTTAAAGTATATTTTCCAGAAGCCTATGCCCACAGGAAGACTCGCAAAGTGGCAGATTTTGCTCACAGAATTTGATATCGTATATGTGACTCGGACGGCAATGAAAGCCCAAGCTTTGGTCGATAATTTGGCCGAAAACCTGGTGGATGAAGAATATGAGCCGCTGAAGACTTATTTTCCTGATGAAAAGATAATGCATATCGAGGAGGTCGAGCAGGATGAGAAGCCCGGTTGGAAACTTTTCTTTGATGGGGCTGCTAACATGAAAGGTGTTGGATAGGAGTTGTGCTCATTTCTGAAACAGGGCACCACTACCCTGTCACAGCTCAACTTCGTTTCTATTGCACCAACAACATGGCTGAGTACGAAGCATGCATTCTGGGTTTAAGGTTAGTTGTGGACATCAGAGTCCAGGAAGTGTTGGTTTTGAGAGATTCAGATCTGTTAGTACACCAGATTCAGGGAGAATGGGAGACTCGAGATTTGAAGCTCATACCATACCGACAATGTCTGCAGGATCTTTGTCAGCGGTTCAGATCAGTGGAGTTCAGGCACCCCTAGGATCCATAATGAGGTTGTTGATGCCTTGGCTACCCTGGCATCAATGTTACATCATCCAGATAAGGCTTATATCGACCCTTTGCATATTCAGGCCCGTGATCAGCATGCTTACTGTAACATGATGGAAGAAGAACTCGATGGTGAGCCGTGGTTCCATGATATCAGGGAATACATCGGGATGGGGGTATATCCGGTAGAAGCCACATGAGATCAAAAGAGAACAATTCGACGTTTGGCAAGTGGATTTTCTTAAGTGGAGAAGTTTTGTACAAAAGAACTCCAGATCTTGGATTGTTGAGATGCATAGATGCTAAGCAATCCACGGCTATCATGACCGAAGTACACTCGGGAGTTTGTGGCCCCCATATGAGTGGGTATGTTCTGGTAAAGAAAATTCTTTGAGCAGGCTATCATTGGCTCACCATGGAGCGAGATTGCACCAGCTTTGTGCGAAAGTGTCATCAATGCCAGGTGCACCGTGATTTGATCCATTCTCCCCCATATGAATTGCACACAATGTCCGCACCTTGGCCCTTTGTTGCTTGGGGCATGGATGCCATCGGACCAATTGAGCCAGCAGCATCAAGTGGGCACAGGTTAATTCTGGTGGCCATCGATTATTTAACTAATGGGTTGAGGCTATGACTTTCAAATCTGTGACCAAGAAAGCAGTGGTTGAGTTTGTTCATTCAAACATCATTTGTCGGTTTGGAATTTCAAAGGTAATTATCATGGACAATGGCGCAAATCTTAACAGTCATTTGATGAAGGAAGTATGCCAGCAGTTCAAGATTATGCATCGAAATTCCACTCCGTATCATCCCAAGGCAAATGGAGCGGTTGAGGCAGCTAACAAGAACATAAAGAAGATACTTCGAAAAATGGTGCAAGGTTCTAGGCAATGGCATGAAAAGTTGCCTTTTGCCTTACTGGGTTATCACACTACTGTTCGCACTTCAGTAGGTGCAACTCCTTATTTGTTGGTATATGGTACTGAGGCAGTGATACCCGCGGAGGTTGAGATTCCATCCCTTCGAATTGTTGCTGAAGCAGAGATTGATGATGAGGAGTGGGTCAAAACCCGGTTGGAGCAATTAAGTCTGATTGATGAGAAAAGACTGGTGGCAGTATGTCACGGCCAGTTGTATCAAAAGAGAATGGCAAGAGCATACAACAAGAAGGTGCGTCCCCGGAAATTTGAAGTGGGTCAGTTGGTATTGAAACGTATCCTTCCACATCAGGCGGAAGCGAAAGGCAAGTTTGCCCCAAATTGGCAGTGGCCATTCGTGGTAACGAGAGTGTTGTCCAATAGTGCTTTGTATTTAATAGATATAGAAGGCAAGTGTGTAGACATGGCTATCAATTCTGATGCGGTCAAAAGATATTATGTATGATTTCTTTGGTTTAAATTGTGTTCATTTGTACTTGGCATGTTTTGAAGATTGAAATGACGAAGGCATTTTATTTTGCTATCTAAACACTTTATCCATTGTTATCCCTTTGAGCCTTATTTGCTTTCTTTCATACCCCTCTTTTGGAATCAGTAGCAAAGATCAGAAACACAGATACAGAAGATAAAGAGAGAGAAAACGAAAAAGAAGAGAAGAGAGAAGAGACAAAGAGAATAAAGAGAAAAATGAAAAAAAAAAGAAAAAAAAAGAAGAAGAAGAGAAAAAAAGAGAAAAAAAGAAAAAAAAGAAAAAAAAGAGAGAAAGAAAAAAAAAAGAAGAGAGAGAAAGAAGAAAAGAAAAAGAGAAAAGTACAAAAACAAAGCAACTCCTATGTCATGAACTACGTTCGACCTGATTCCTTTTACGTAAATGCAGGCAGCCTCACGGTTCGGTCCCATCAAAATAAAATGCAAAGCCCCCAAGCAAAGAAACTGGGGCAGAAGTTGCGATTTTGTAAAAGATCTGATTCAAAAAGTTGTAATTTTGAACCCATTCAAGTTGTTTGAGCCTTTATGATATCCTTTCTTTCTAACCCTATCCAAAAGCTCACATTACGGTCCAAAGAAAGACCTTCCGATCAATCTTTGAGGGATGCCAAGTCAAGCAAGTTAGAGGTATGATTCATATCAGGGGCAAAGCTCCGTTCTGCGCAGGAAAAATGAATAAATGAGAGAGTCTTATTAGTGAAAACCCTCACGGGCACCATAAGGCGACGGAAAGTTGAGAGAAATTTAAATGAGAGAGTCTTATTGGTGAAAACCCTCACGGGCATCGTAAGGCGACGGTCAGGGGCAGATTTATCCGCTTCGTCGAATTTTTTTACTATTTATATATATATAAAAATAATAAGTAATACAGAAATATAAGATAAAAGCACTAAAAGTGACACCACTTGCAACAAAACAGCTCAGTAGTCTAGTGGTTGATAACTTCAAGTTTGATGTAAGAGGTCTTGAGTTCGAACTCCCTTGGCTCCAAAATATTTTTTGACTGTTACGGGCCTCTTACTAGAAATAGTGACACCACTTATAAAAATCCTGCTACGCCACTGGCGACGGTGAGTTTGAGAGATGAACAAATGAGAGAGGTTGGCTGGTGAAAACCCTTCAGGGCGCCGCAAGCCAAGTAAGGTGGTTGACTTTGCAAAGGAATTGGATCATGGGGACCCCAGGCATAAATTGTGAGGACTGAAAGGTGATTGACTGAATGGACTAGGCTGATTAATCCAAAGTGCCTGTCATGATCATTGATGCCAGCAGCCTCACCCAGATAAGTCCTTTTTCCTTTTCTTCCTCAAACAGTCTTCCTGCTTCGAATTTTCTTCTTTATTCATAACTCTCGAAGTCATTGAATTTCATCTCCTTTTTGGGTTTACTTTCTCTAAGGCTTTTTCCGATGATAGCCTTGCTAAGCCAACAAGAAGGGATTGCAAAGCTTATTACCAACTTCCAAATTGCACAAAGCAAAGTGCGGCCACAACATGCCAGAAATAGTATGATGCACAATGAAAAATAAGGTGTAGCCGAGTTTCAGGTAATCAAGTGGTTTCGTGAATTATGGGAAGGAGTACAGAGATTCAGGTTGGAAAGCCAGAAATGATAAAATAGCAGGTTGAGTATAGGGCACTCAGGGTTCCTTGGTTAAGGTTCAATCAGAAGGTGAAACAATTCCTTGCCGGTTGGATGCAGTTGAGCAGCACAAAGCACAATAGTGGAAAGTCCACCCTCAGCAAGAATGCCGCAAACTAACCACCGCATTTTCAAACTGACAAGATTTTTCTTTGATTGAAACAGGGGCAGGAAATTTTGTTTGTTCCGGAGAAACCCTCCGTGAAGAAAACAGGTGCCAGACAGGCTCGGCCATAAGTTTTCAGTACTCTCCTGGATAACGGGATTTAGTAAGTTTTGAGACCCTCGCAAGTGACCAGGTTTCACGAGAGTTTTTCTTTTGGGAGGTATAATTCAGCATTTAAGTTTTCACTTTTG